TTATGGAGAACTGCCCCTTTTCTCATATCCAAAGTGTCTCCCCAAAACAACATTTTACTATTTCATCGGTACCATCAGCCTGCCATTCACCCCCCATGGAATATTCTAGTCTGCATAACTTTTTTTTTGAGGACCAGCCCGAGGTACCACAGAGGCCTATTTCTACTTTGGATTGGGACTTTGTTCGTTTTCCTCATGGCTCCAAATTATTAGCTGAAATTGAACTTAACTGCGTCAATGAATGCACCTTCTGCCCAGGTTTCATGGAGAACTGTCCCTTTTCTCATATCCAAAGTGTCTCTTCAAATCTACATTTCACTCCTTCATCGGAACCACCAGCTTGCCAATCACCACCCATAGAATCTTCTAGCCTGCATAACTTTTTCGTTGAGGACCAGCCTGATGTGCCACCCAATGCTTCAAAGGCTTCTCCAGTGCCCCTTAAGCATCACTCTAAATCACCTCCCAAACCCTCATTTGATCCAAAGACTGACAACATTGTGAAGACTTTCCGTGCTAAAATGCGAGAGTACCCAGAATATGCGTGTATTAAATGTCACAAGCTTTTCTTCCGTGAAGGTGTTGTTAAGGCAAAGGACACTTTTAAGTTTAAGCTCAATATTCCTTCGGTTACTAAAGCAGATAATAAATGGATTTGTAAACGTTGCAATAGTTATTTAAAGCGTGGAAAGTTCTCCCCTATAGATGTAAATGAAATGTTCCTGGCATCAGGCGATCTCCCATCCTCCCTTCAGCCAAACCCCACCGAATGCCGCTTAGTATCCCAAATCATTCCATTCATGAAAATTTTATCCCTTCCTGCTGGAGGTCAAAGTTGTATTAAAGGCCCTGTTGTAAATGTCCCCATCCAACCTGACAGAAACTGCATGCAGCTCCCTCGTAAACTTTCTGAGTCTGGTATTTTAGCTGTCCGTATAAAACGTAAGGTTGAGTACAAGTCTGTTGTAATGTCTGATGTTGTTAATCCTGATAAATGTATAACATTATTAGTATGGCTTAAGAAAAACAATCCTTTTTATAAAAAAAAAATTCAACATTTAATTTTGAAGATATTCAAAATAGAAAATGCAGAAATCAACGGCCACATTTTAGATCTGCAAGAAAACAGAATTTGAAATACAAAAAAAATCAGTACACATTTTTCAAGAATAAACGAAGAACACACCTTTATTTACGGCTTAGTAATAAATTTGAAATCAGACTTAAAAACATAGAAACTAACACAGGTTCCACACTTAATCTGAATTCTGAGGATATGTTGCTTTCTGATACTAACAAGCACAATTTCAATAAATCATCATCATTAACAAGTTATATATTTTAAAAATCACTGGAAACCATAATCCAATTCTGTGAATTTAAATCAAAAACTTAAACACTGCTTCCTCGGCGAAAAGGAACCATTACTTCTCCTGTATAGTTCAAGAATCTTAAGAATATCGCTTCTATAAATTAGTACGTATGACAACAGCTACCGGTGGCAACTGCTGATCGTAGATAATTATACTTACTACTATACGTACTATAGGTCGGAATTCTGTTCAGTCACCCGAAGCTTCTTACATACGGTAGTAACACTTGCAGTAGACAATCATTATTTTTGAAACGTCCACTGCTTGCCATCACTGAAACAAACTTAAATATAATAGTTAGAGAGGATATGTCAGGAATATCAATGGCGTGGGATTAGTTTGTTAGAAGCAATTTGACTTCAAGAATCACTAGTTGGAAGCCTAAACTAAAGGATTTTTATAGGTGGCAATTTTTATTTTGGCGGGAACACCCATATACGGGCCACGCCCTTTTTCAGGGTTTCGCGGTCACTCGAATTTTTGTATTTCAGCCCAGGAAGGTCTTAAAGACTATTCCGATACACCAAAATGTGCCTAATAGCCACATTTATATACAACTAATGAAGCAACATATACCTTAAAATGCTTCGTTTCGGAAATATGGCCGAAAAACGGTTTTTGGCTTGATGCAGTTCATAATTTCCGTGATTTTTGGCATTTCCACCTAGGAAGGTCGTAGAGACTATTCTGATACACTAAAATGTACATAATGGCCACATTTATATACAACTTATAAAGCAACATATACCCTAAAAGACTTATTTTCGGAAATGTGGCTGAAAAACGGATTTTTGCCGAGCGAACAATGACAATATTCACAAATGGGCTATTGGACTGTTAACTAGAAAGATCTTAAAGACTCATGAGCAACACAGCATTTGTCACAAGATGTAAGATGACTCACTTTGTGTCCAGAAGCACCTACAAAATTGGAGAATGATCTACTTTATTGGGCATCTCTCTTAATGGGCCAGGCCAGCAGCATATTTGTGTCTTACGAAAGGGCAATTTTTCAAAATTACGGTTTCTTTAGTAAAGTTCAATGGGTCAGTTGCTAACAGCAAATTGTTCGCAATTGCCGACTCATGCACATCATATACTCAAAAACGCTCACTTTAGGAGTCGTTAATAAATAACTACTACATGATTTGTGAAAACTCCAACAATTTTTCCTTGGCACCAATTTAGCCAAAATGTCATGAGCAACACAGCATTTGTAAGATTACTCACTTTCTGTCCAGAAAAACCTACAAAAATTGGAGATTGATCTACTTTATTGGGCATCTCTCATAATGGGCCAGGCCAGCAGCATATTTGTGTCTTACGAAAGGGCAATTTTTCAAAATTACAGTTTCTTTAGTAAAGGTGAATGGGTCAGTTGCTAACAGCAAATTGTTCGCAATTACCGACTCCTGCACATCATACTATACTCAAAAACGCTCACTTTAGGAGTCATTAATAAAAAACTACTACATGATTTGTGAAAACTCCAACAATTTTTCCTTGGCACCAATTTAGCCAAAATGTAATGACCAAAATTCAACTTTTGATTTATTCATTCCATGAAACCATTATATGTACCCTCCCTCCCTCCCTCCCTCCCTCCCTCCCTCCCTCCCTCCCTCCCTCCCTCCCTCCCTCCCTCCCTCCCTCCCTCCCTCCCTCCCTCCCTCCCTCCCTCCCTCCCTCCCTCCCTCCCTCCCTCCCTCCCTCCCTCCCTCCCTCCCTCCCTCCCTCCCTCCCTCCCTGCTATCTCGAAATGAAGTTTCACAAAAAAATACCCTTGACCCCCCCCTAAAAAAATAAAAATACGTGTCTGCGCTAACTGGAAGCGAACAAAGGAGAGAAAAATGTTTCGCTTATTTATAGAAAATTTTACGATCAATTTGTATAAAATGACATTCACTCCGACCGAGTTATAATTAGTTATCCGCTGAATCAGGCGAAGAAATACATTCTCAGACACACACGTCCCAGAATATTGAACTGAAGTCAGAGATTACGGGATGTGAGGAAGCTTCTATGATATATTCTATGGCATGTAATTTTTACACGTTTTGTAAATCAATGAGGAAAAAATTCCTCAAATACCACGATCCATAACGAGGTCCGCGTTATAACGAGGTCCTAAAACTGGTGTATGTGTTTTACTGGACGGCACTCAGCCTGTCACCTCACCATATCTTCATTTGTTTTACTATAACACATCTTCATGTGTTTATGATCACATTTTTATGATGTGCATGAATTAAATACGGTATCTCAAGCATAAAATTATTTGATAAAAAATAATGATTTTGTATGTACTACAATATTTTATAAGATCCTCGATAAAGATTTGACATGTACCTTCTTGTTATGAGGATTTGCGTTAAAAATGTGAACTACAGTATTCATGCATTACATGTAATTAATAACTTTATAAGTCTGACTATAAATAATGCTACCATATCGGACTTTAGTGTGAGATTTCCACGAGACACCAAAGACTCTATACGGAAAGATTCCACCGGTGACAGATACCATAAAGACACGACGACTTCGTTTTGCAGGACATGTGTACCGTCTACATAACAAGACCAACCTGCTCAGCAACTCCTTTTCTGGCAACCCTCCTATGGCCATCGGTATAGAGGACGACCACATAAGACCTTTCCGGACGTCCTACAAGAAAATACTGGATTGGATCCTGAAAAGTTACGTTGGCTCATGAGTGATAAAGATAAATTTCATATATCAGTTAATGACTATTAAACTTGGACTCGTGACCAAACCTTTAAAAGGATCTTGTACCTAAAACGCTAAAGCGCACTGAGAGTTTCGACCCTTTGGATCCTCTTTGGTTGGCTAATTTCATTGCGGCATATCCTGCATAATTATATATAGATCGTCACGCACTGTAGTTCTTCACGCAATGTGTCTGTAGTTCGACACTCATGTAGTTCGACAGAGATAATCTCTGGCAAACTGTTTTGTGCCCAACTACAGTTACTAAATGTGCTTCCAATTATTATCTTTATCAATACTTCTGAGTTTAGACATTCTTGGTACTATACGACAAGTTTTGCCCGTCAATAAAAACAAAAATAAACAATTCATTACAAATACAACAAATCATCAAATTTTAACAGCTGTCAGCCGCAATAAATCTAAGTGAAATATTTAATCATAACCAGCTGAAAAGCAAATTATCAAAAATAACAACAGCAAAAAAAAATATTCTAACATTTAAATTTGTTTCTTTCTCTGGTAGACTAGTGCCCTAGACTTAGACGACTTAAGCTTGAACCTTGACCACACAACGAACTCCTGATAAACATCAAGCAGGGTTTGCATATCTACCATTTTAGCCGTGGTAAGGCAGCTATCATCCATAAACAGCTTAAGGGGTGGTATAGCTGTTCCATCCTTAATGTACTCGACACTCCTGGGTACCTTCATCTTCAAGTACTCGTCAGAAAGGTTCATGCATAGCACAAACAAGATCACCGAGATGACACAGCCCATAAATATTCCTATCTCGAACTGCTGCCACTCTGATGTCACTGTTTTAGAGGAGAATCTTCCGTAAACTTCCGAGAAGTATTTGATTACGATGTTGATAACTTTCTCGGGGATATGATAGAATTAGCGGAGTGCTTTCACAATAAGTAAATGTGGAACAGCCCCGTAAGCATTCGCCAAGTCTAACCAGACAACACTCAGATCCTTTCTCTTAACTCTAGCATCTTTGAGCACCTCCCACATAGCTCCAAAGTGCTCTGTACATCCGTGTACACCAGGAACTCCACCCTTCTGCACAGAGAGATCCACATACCCGTTAGCGACAACAAAGTTGGTTAATCTTTTCGCCAACACAGCGAGGTATATCTTCCCCTGAATGTTTCCTAGCGATATAGGCCGTCCTGTGCTGGGTCCAAAATCTCCATCCGCCTTAGGAATGTAGATCCCTTCAAAGTACCTACAGTTGTCTGGGTACTCCTCAGCCTTGTAGCCTCCTCTCAGCACATGCCACAAGTTCTGAGATATACCTGGGCACCTCTTGTACACCGTATACGGGATGCCGTTGTTACCAGGTGAACTCTTACCTCTGGCTTTCTTAACAACCTCTTCGAACTCCTTCTTGGTTATATTCCTGCTGTCAAACCCCACAGTTGGGCTAGGAGCTGCCTCAGGTAACCCATTCAGAACGCCAAGAGGAACTGCCCGACTGGCATCACTATACGTATTAGACAGGTGGTTGTCTAACTCCTCCTTACTACACTTTAACTCTCCCACAGGGCTTGGTTCAAGAATACCTTTAATAGCCTTGAAAGGATCTCGAGTAAACCCACCTCTCTGTCTCCTCACTTCTCTCTGCTTCTTCCTCCTTGCCTCTGCTCTTCTCAACTTACACAGCTTCTCTGCCAGGCCTCTAAGCAAAGCATTGAAACCATCCTTTACAGACTGGGAACAAGCTTTCCTGGCTTTCCTCCTCAGCACTCTCCTCTCAATGACCAACTTATCAATCTCCTCCTGTCTCCTGTTGGCAAACCTGAGACCTTTACCTGACTCTGCACCATCAATCACGAGCCCAAACCATTTCACACCATCATCATACACCGTGTCGCAATGGCTCACCATCTTCTCCTGGAATGGCTTCCCCTTCTGCTCCTGTCTCACTCTCTTACTAACACTCACATCAAACTCTACCCACCTCTCATCCTTTGCGGCCGGCCACTTCACCTTGGGCTTCTTAGGGGCAGGTGGGTCAATAGAAGAACTCTTTGAAAGAAGGGCCTGGATATCCCTGGCACTGTGGTTATCGTCCTGGCCAGGTACCTCCACCGAACTTACAGATGCAACATCTAACGGTTGCTCCCCTTCCCAAGAGCACTTCATCCTTCCTCGATGAATGTTCCTACCCCTTTCCGTTGTAAAGCGTCGACCACACACGCAGCTAAACTCCTCTGCTACATCAGAATCAGGGGTCGAGAGTTCTCGACTGTTTGTATAAGTCCTTTTCTGATTCGTGGCAGGACGTGGTGGGTGTCCACAAAGCCTTTATTTTTCACCCGGGCAACTCGTCCCTAAATAGGGACTCCCGGAACCTTAGAGAGGCAGGAGGCGCAGGACCGATGTGGACTGAGGTCTCCGCTCGTTAAAACCCCATCACACCTCTCTATTGCAGTAACCGCTGCAGGCACGGATCTCAACCCAACCCAGAAGCCAATTCCAAGCGTAGCATCTGTTCAAATCAGGTGGGCCTTACCCCACGGTAGCTGGCCAATCCCAGCAGTATCATAAAGTAGCATAGAGTAAAGATACAGTTAAACTGCGAAGGCACAACACCAAACCAACCTTACTCTATCTCCCAAAAACAACCTTCTCCTGGTCAGCCATGTCCCTCATCCTGCACTTGACCCCCGCAGAGGTCACAAGCCCATCGGAGCACAAATGAGCGAGAAACGGGGAAGCCTTAGCTACCGGGCTAAGGACTGCATCACTAGCAGCGAAATACGGATATACCCTCCCTTTTACATGCGTTCAACCGGCACCCGAACCACACGCTGTTTCTTAGACATAACTTCCCACTTACATCAGTGTCTTCTCGCATCAACTGGCATCGGCAAGTGGCGACACTGTGTAGACTCAACCCTGAGCTTGATCAGAATCTTCAGTCACAAACCTGACACCGTTTCGGGGCTTTCATTGCGATACGGTTTTCTGTCAGGTGCCCCAGCAGTCTCTCTTGGACCACCATCTGATCTGACAATCACCCGAGGATACCTGCTAGAGCTCGCGATTTACGACGAGTTAGCTTATGGCACCTCTGGCTGTTAGGTGAAGTCATAAAGCTCAAACAGCTCTCATCTCCCACTCTCTTTTCCTAGACAGCAGATAAATCCATCTTGAACAATGGGCTGCATCCTTCCCACAATCTCTGACCAACTTCTTGAGGGCTCTCCCAGTCAGACCAATCTTCCTTGATGCACACTCCAAACTTGCTGCGACCACACCTCTAGCACCAACCTCAACAGCAAAGCTGAAACATGACCACCCATTAGCTTGTATTTCCGCTTGTAGACTGTTATACCGATCAAGCTTCAGCTCATGGGATGCAGCTATTCTCTCTTCCGACGGTACTGTAAGCTCCCACCAGATTACTCTCTTGGAAGCTTTCGAGAAAAGAACCAAATCTGGTCTTAATCTGGTCGTTGCTATATCCGACGGGAATTTCAGCTGCTCATCCAGGTCTGCTAATACTATCCAATCAGTGGCCCCACTCAGAATCCCAAACTCACTGACTTTCGACCTCTTCACCTCCTTAAACCTCCCTCCTGCTGGAACAAACTTAATGGCTTTCCGAGTGACACAAGAGCTCTTCCTCTTGTTGACTCTCCGCTCACAATGGAATTTCACTTGGTCTGCTATTTGTTTAAGCACCTTATCGTGGCGCCATCGGTATCTCCCTTGACTTAGTGCCACAGGACAACCAGCCAGAATATGCGGCACAGTTCCCAACTTGTCACCAAGTCCAATCACCGAAACCAATTCCCGCTCTACTAAGAGGTTGCACCATACCTCGCACTGACTCACACACCAAGTCTCTTTCAGCTTCGTGAAGCTGAGCATCTGCCTTCCAAACTCTCCCAGACCGCACCTGGGGTTGCACCGCTCTGATCAAAGCATCCTGAGATGTTTGATATGACTGCAAGAGACGGCACTTTTCTACTTTCCAAGTGTCGGTTAGGCTGTCGATGGGGAGAGCAACACTGGATGAATGACTAAACAGGCAAGAGCTACTAAGCGTGTGTCCCACTCCTAGCCATTTTCTGAGATGACTGTTAGTTGTTTGCTCCCAGCGAGAAACAGTGCTGATCGGGATATCATAAATGGCAAGTGGCCACTTCATTTTTGGAAGGACCATATACTGATACCCCCAACATTTCTGCAGGCCGGTGAGGGAGCTAAGATCGAGTCTACTGAGGTATGTAACAAGATCCTCGTGTGTTTTCTCGATTATAGCTTTGTCCTTTCCTTCTGCCCGAATCCACCTCCCTAGAAACTTGATTGGTTTCTCAGATACATTCGGGATCACCTCCCCGCTAAGCTGCAACCTCGCCTGACTACCTTCTGAACTCTCTACAACCCACTCCACTGTCACTCCAGCTTTAGCATCCAAGTGTAGCGAGGATGAGGATGGGATGTGCAAGCTGTGTGGTGACAAGTTGGGAACTGTGCCGCATATTCTGGCTGGTTGTCCTGTGGCACTAAGTCAAGGGAGATACCGATGGCGCCACGATAAGGTGCTTAAACAAATAGCAGACCAAGTGAAATTCCATTGTGAGCGGAGAGTCAACAAGAGGAAGAGCTCTTGTGTCACTCGGAAAGCCATTAAGTTTGTTCCAGCAGGAGGGAGGTTTAAGGAGGTGAAGAGGTCGAAAGTCAGTGAGTTTGGGATTCTGAGTGGGGCCACTGATTGGATAGTATTAGCAGACCTGGATGAGCAGCTGAAATTCCCGTCGGATATAGCAACGACCAGATTAAGACCAGATTTGGTTCTTTTCTCGAAAGCTTCCAAGAGAGTAATCTGGTGGGAGCTTACAGTACCGTCGGAAGAGAGAATAGCTGCATCCCATGAGCTGAAGCTTGATCGGTATAACAGTCTACAAGCGGAAATACAAGCTAATGGGTGGTCATGTTTCAGCTTTGCTGTTGAGGTTGGTGCTAGAGGTGTGGTCGCAGCAAGTTTGGAGTGTGCATCAAGGAAGATTGGTCTGACTGGGAGAGCCCTCAAGAAGTTGGTCAGAGATTGTGGGAAGGATGCAGCCCATTGTTCAAGATGGATTTATCTGCTGTCTAGGAAAAGAGAGTGGGAGATGAGAGCTGTTTGAGCTTTATGACTTCACCTAACAGCCAGAGGTGCCATAAGCTAACTCGTCGTAAATCGCGAGCTCTAGCAGGTATCCTCGGGTGATTGTCAGATCAGATGGTGGTCCAAGAGAGACTGCTGGGGCACCTGACAGAAAACCGTATCGCAATGAAAGCCCCGAAACGGTGTCAGGTTTGTGACTGAAGATTCTGATCAAGCTCAGGGTTGAGTCTACACAGTGTCGCCACTTGCCGATGCCAGTTGATGCGAGAAGACACTGATGTAAGTGGGAAGTTATGTCTAAGAAACAGCGTGTGGTTCGGGTGCCGGTTGAACGCATGTAAAAGGGAGGGTATATCCGTATTTCGCTGCTAGTGATGCAGTCCTTAGCCCGGTAGCTAAGGCTTCCCCGTTTCTCGCTCATTTGTGCTCCGATGGGCTTGTGACCTCTGCGGGGGTCAAGTGCAGGATGAGGGACATGGCTGACCAGGAGAAGGTTGTTTTTGGGAGATAGAGTAAGGTTGGTTTGGTGTTGTGCCTTCGCAGTTTAACTGTATCTTTACTCTCAACAATCTTACTATATATAAAGCGAGACGATATATATGGTTCCGTGCCATTTTACTGACACCATGGCATCAACTTTAACGCGACTTTCCGCAAAAACCGTAAAAGATATACAACTGAAACTTTTTTGACTGGGTCAAATGCTTTAATGGCCTTCAAATCAGCATGAAAAAGTAAAAAATTGGCCAAGGAATAAGAATTTTAGTGCCCAAAATTTGGACTCCCAAGTGGTGTCAAAAACGCAAAATAAATAGGTAATAATTATTTTAGTCTCTCGAGTCTTGACACCACTTTAGGGTAGACGGGTTCCTGCTAGTTATAGTAATCTGTGAGTTACATATTTCTGAATTTATTTCAACATTTTCCTGAACTGTTGTGAAATGAAATTTGACCGGACATTGCGTAAACGGACATAATTTTGAACGAACATTCGAACAAAGTCCGATAATTTTACATCATTCTGCTATGTCTAGTGTATGATTTCCTGACGAGTTAGTGGCGAGGTCATCTGCACTGTTAGTGTTACTGGCAGTGTTCATAGTGTTGTTTGGAGGTTGTAGTTCATGACTTCTGGGTGTGTTACAGTTACCACCACTCGGGGCCTGTTTACACCCTAATAGCGTTATTGATGGTTCAATCAGCGAACACCTGAAGAATGGAACTGTTATATAACTCTGATAAAACAGGGTAATCACTAAAATTACTAATTCTGATTTTCAATGTATTACTTAAAATGAAATGAACTCGTTTTCTTACCACATTTTAGACTTAAAGCTGATAATTAATTTTATGTAGGCCCTCCTGAAGAACGGGTTGACGATGCCGTAAAGTACCGGATTCACGGCACTGTTACTCAGCAACAACCAGTGAAATGCTATGAAGAACTCTGAGATTTTGATACTGTGAAAGTAAAATAAAAGTTTTAAAAATAGGTATACTACCATGAATTAGGTGGTCGTCAAAAATGGTTGGATTAACAGACAAGTTCAAAATGTAAAATATGCTGCTCCCACGTTGGAAAAAATCTTTTAGATAAGACGAGGAATGTAACTTGAAATTGTTACTATTATTTACCACTATTTTACCACTATTTACCACTATCATTACCTGGTCCAACCTGGATCAGAGAACCGTCTATGAAGTGGATAAACCCGACAAATGTAACGGGGAGAAAACACGACATCATAACACCTGCAAACATTTTAGATACAGAAAATATAAATGAGAGCTTCTTGATCGTTAAATAGTAGTAAAAGATCAAATAGATAAATAATCTATGGGTAACCCCGACCAAAGCGTAACTGAAACTCAATAGAAATTAGAAATTAGAAATTAGATATGATCACTGTCTTACAAAGCCTAAATTTCACAATTGCTCAAATAAATTGAGTCACTTGCTTAGTCACTTGCTTAGTCACTTGCTTACCTATCAGCTGCACTTACCAATAATAACTTAAACAGTGACAGTATTACTTACCAATAAAAAGCTCAATCAGTGACAGTATTATTTACCATTAATAACTTATAACTTACCAATAATAACTAAAACAGTGACAGTATTACTTACCAATAATAACTAAAACAGTGACAGTATTACTTACCAATAATACCTAAAACAGTGACAGTATTACTTACCAATAATAACTAAAACAGTGACAGTATTACTTACCAATAATAACTTAAACAGTGACAGTATTACTTACCAATAATAACTAAAACAGTGACAGTATTGCTCTTATTATGTCGCTTCCTTATCAACATAGAATCAGAAGCAGGTCCGGAACCACCAACATGACCAGGTACAAGGCTAGACACTGATCTCTTGAGGACAACAGACACAGCACTCCCGTTCCGCTTCACTATTCTGGAGCTCAGAGACGCTGATCTGGGCAGCTGTAGATCCGTCCGGAACCTGTCCACGTCACTTTTACACCGTAAAGTTTCGGTTGAAGCGACTCTTTTTATTTCTACCAAGTTGATTGAATTAGCCATGAAGCTTCTACATTGACTGGACGATTCGAGTGCTTTTACTAAGGCCTGAAATGGGAGTCCTGAGGTTAGTATTAAGTATTATAATGAGATACTCAGCAAGTACATCATTGGAAAGAGCACTAGTAAACCTTATAATTATCACTATGATAAGTATCATCATAAAATCCAAACCCCTGATCTCAGTATATCCCCAGCAAACCCCTGATCTCAGTATATCCCCAGCAAACCCCTGATCTCAGTATATCCCCAGCAAACCCCTGATCTCAGTATATCCCCAGCAAACCCCTGATCTCAGTTTATCCCCAGCAAACCCCTGATCTCAGTATATCCCCAGCAAACCCCTGATCTCAGTATATCCCCAGCAAACCCCTGATCTCAGTATATCCCCAGCAAACCCCTGATCTCAGTATATCCCCAGCAAACCCCTGATCTCAGTTTATCCCCAGCAAACCCCTGATCTCAGTATATCCCCAGCAAACCCCTGATCTCAGTTTATCCCCAGCAAACCCCTGATCTCAGTATATCCCCAGCAAACCCCTGATCTCAGTATATCCCCAGCAAACCCCTGATCTCAGTATATCCCCAGCAAACCCCTGATCTCAGTATATCCCCAGCAAACCCCTGATCTCAGTTTATCCCCAGCAAACCCCTGATCTCAGTATATCCCCAGCAAACCCCTGATCTCAGTATATCCCCAGCAAACCCCTGATCTCAGTTTATCCCCAGCAAACCCCTGATCTCAGTATATCCCCAGCAAACCCCTGATCTCAGTATATCCCCAGCAAACCCCTGATCTCAGTATATCCCCAGCAAACCCCTGATCTCAGTATATCCCCAGCAAACCCCTGATCTCAGTATATCCCCAGCAAACCCCTGATCTCAGTATATCCCCAGCAAACCCCTGATCTCAGTTTATCCCCAGCAAACCCCTGATCTCAGTTTATCCCCAGCAAACCCCTGATCTCAGTATATCCCCAGCAAACCCCTGATCTCAGTATATCCCCAGCAAACCCCTGATCTCAGTATATCCCCAGCAAACCCCTGATCTCAGTTTATCCCCAGCAAACCCCTGATCTCAGTATATCCCCAGCAAACCCCTGATCTCAGTATATCCCCAGCAAACCCCTGATCTCAGTTTAGCCCCAGCAAACCCCTGATCTCAGTATATCCCCAGCAAACCCCTGATCTCAGTTTATCCCCAGCAAACCCCTGATCTCAGTATATCCCCAGCAAACCCCTGATCTCAGTATATCCCCAGCAAACCCCTGATCTCAGTATATCCCCAGCAAACCCCTGATCTCAGTATATCCCCAGCAAACCCCTGATCTCAGTATATCCCCAGCAAACCCCTGATCTCAGTTTATCCCCAGCAAACCCCTGATCTCAGTTTATCCCCAGCAAACCCCTGATCTCAGTATATCCCCAGCAAACCCCTGATCTCAGTATATCCCCAGCAAACCCCTGATCTCAGTATATCCCCAGCAAACCCCTGATCTCAGTTTATCCCCAGCAAACCCCTGATCTCAGTATATCCCCAGCAAACCCCTGATCTCAGTATATCCCCAGCAAACCCCTGATCTCAGTATATTTCCCAGCAAACCCCTGATCTCAGTATATCCCCAGCAAACCCCTGATCTCAGTATATCCCCAGCAAACCCCTGATCTCAGTATATCCCCAGCAAACCCCTGATCTCAGTATATCCCCAGCAAACCCCTGATCTCAGTTTATCCCCAGCAAGCCCCTGATCTCAGTTTATCCCCAGCAAACCCCTGATCTCAGTATATCCCCAGCAAACCCCTGATCTCAGTATATCCCCAGCAAACCCCTGATCTCAGTATATCCCCAGCAAACCCCTGATCTCAGTTTATCCCCAGCAAACCCCTGATCTCAGTATATCCCCAGCAAACCCCTGATCTCAGTATATCCCCAGCAAACCCCTGATCTCAGTATATTTCCCAGCAAACCCCTGATCTCAGTATATCCCCAGCAAACCCCTGATCTCAGTATATCCCCAGCAAACCCCTGATCTCAGTATATCCCCAGCAAACCCCTGATCTCAGTATATCCCCAGCAAACCCCTGATCTCAGTTTATCCCCAGCAAGCCCCTGATCTCAGTTTATCCCCAGCAAACCCCTGATCTCAGTATATCCCCAGCAAACCCCTGATCTCAGTATATCCCCAGCAAACCCCTGATCTCAGTTTATCCCCAGCAAACCCCTGATCTCAGTATATCCCCAGCAAACCCCTGATCTCAGTATATCCCCAGCAAACCCCTGATCTCAGTTTATCCCCAGCAAGCCCCTGATCTCAGTTTATCCCCAGCAAACCCCTGATCTCAGTATATCCCCAGCAAACCCCTGATCTCAGTATATCCCCAGCAAACCCCTGATCTCAGTATATCCCCAGCAATATGAAAGATAATATCCTTCTGTTCTCCACACTCACGTTATCACTTTTTGAAATAGATTTGGCTATGGTGAAGATCTTTACGTAGCAGATCGTTATCATGAGCAATGGTAACGGAACAAATATCACAGAGTACGTAAGACAGTAAACCTGATGAAAAATACTTTATTTAATTAAAAATACCTTGTTTATTTAAGAATGTTTTGTTTAATTAAGAATATTTTGTTTAATTAAGAATACTTTGTTAACTTTATCGACAGGAGGGATTGAGACATTGAGATTAATGTCGGAGGATTTCTAGAAACCTGGATACTCTTTAATTTAAGATTCCTAGTAACAAAAATTAATTTATTATGAACTTTTACAGTTTTACTATTCAGATTTATAAAATTGACCGTGACACACTGAAACTAAATGTTATTATCAATTTAAGGGGTCCTAAAAAACTGAAATAAAATCGACCTATCTTGTTATTTCTTACCTGCCCATACAGTTCCGAAGGACATACCAATCCACAGCTATAAGACAACTTAGAGTAGCCGAACTTAAGTCCCTGGTAGTTGAAGAGAGGAGGGGAGTTACACAGTCCTGCTGTAACCCAGATACAAACTGGAGGGTATTTATTTGTTTATTTAATTATTATTTTATAGTTTTTATTAGTTTATTTATATTTTTTTATTTGATTGATGGAATAATTAATATGATAAAATGACGACCAATTCAAAGATATTCACACGTAACAAAACATGATATCAGTCTCAGGAAGTTAACATAGTTCTTACTTCTTATCTCTGACATTTATTTACTGTTCAATTCATCATGATAAGGATAACAATATCAAAAAAACATTGTTTGTTATTTGTAAAGAGGTTCAGTATTTTTAAAAATCAGTTCGACAATCTTTGGCGATTTCTTCTATTTGAATATTCAAAGAATCAAATTGAAGTTGTCACATTGTCATATTAGATCATCTTCATAATTTCATAACTTTGGTGATTTGTACTTTATTTCCTTATGCAAAGAAACATAATCGTCTCACAGAAATAAAATTGAAGATGTCACACTGTCATATTTGATAATTTTCAGGAATTAAACAGGAATTAAACTAAACCAGGTAACGTGCAATAAAATGACAAAATAGTCGTTTGAGACAGGAATGTTTAGCATCTTTAAACCACTTACCACATCATGACGGCATAACTCAAGGTATTTAAGGGGTTGCAACGGAATCAACTAGTTGTCAAAGAAAAAACTTTTCTTAAAATAAAGAATCAGTAAACTGGGAACTGACCTATAAGTTTGGTGACTCGAGTCCAGGTGATGTTGCGATTGTAATGTAGTGGATACTGGATCATGTAAAACTTGTCCAGTGAGGAACAGGCTACTGTCCACACACTTATCAACAACATTGTGTTGTCCACAAACGCTGGAGTATAAAATTAGTAATATTTGATAATAATAATTACCTTACTCGGGATTATTACGACGGGTTTATTAACGACCGGTTAAAATATGGTTCGGGAAAAATATGGCGAAATTGCTCAAAACCCACCACATTTTCCCGGTCGCCATTTTACCGGTGTCCAACCTTTCAATTTTAGATTCAAAAATTTTGTCTCAGATGTAAATTTCCTTATTATAGATAAGCAAGTTTAGAAATTTTCGCATTGCTAAAACTTGTGAAACAAGTCGAATTATCAATAATTGTTGAAAGTAGACAGAAATAATGACTCGTGGTTAATCAAACTAGATGGAAAATAATTTTAAACATTTGAAGCGTAACAACCAGATCGATATTAAGATAAAGGGAGAGCTGTTTAGTCTTCCAATAAGTTGTAATCATCTTCGTTATCTTCATCTGGATCATCCCTTTCATCAGTTTTAATTAATTCAAGTTTTAATTTAACTGTTACTTTTACTTTTAACGGCCAGGTAGCGCAGTTGGTTAGCCAGCTTTGCAATCGTGAGATTGCGGGTTCAAATCCCACTGCCTGCCTGGTCGTGGGGTGAGTGTCGTTGACATTCAGCTAAGGATCGTGAGTGGTCTATGCAGCCCCCCGGTCTACTCAGCCGAATACTCGAGAAATCGGGTGTGAGGGTTAAATGAGGAGCTGCACATTGCAGCAAAGTCTCGGGCGAAGAAAGTATGGTACACACTACCTTAACCGTCACTGGCTAAAAACAAATCCTTCGGCTTCCTGTAATTGGCTGGTTGCACTTGTGTAACAATATGGCTGTTGGAATACTCCGAAGTAAAATAAGTGTCTAGATAAAAAAAACTTTGAGTCCTATTTCATTATGTAGAGATAGTCAATACCTAAGAAATTAAAAATTGGCCTATTTAAATCAAATTTGACAATAAGGATATATGACCAGAATTGGGCAAAAAGGTGAATTTTTTGCAATTTTAGCCAAATGAAGTCGAAAAACCTACAAAAAGTGTCCCAATAGTCTTCTTTAGTGAATATAAGACAACGATTAAAATATGAGCACCCATACCCCTTGGGAACCCTAAAAGCTGAGTAGGCGGGTTTATTAACGACCGGTGAAAATGTGGTTCGGGAAAAATATGGCGAAATTACCCTAAACCCACCACTTTATCCCGGTCATAATAATCCCGAGTAAGGTACCATAATATTTATTAGAAACAATTTTACGTTATTGTATATATAACTGGATCTGATGAACTTTAACCTGAAAATTTGCAAACTTGTAACAAATTTTCAAGAATCAACATTCCTTACCCGAGAAGTTGCAGAGAGCGTTACCAAGCGGCCACTTGTTTGCAGCCACAGAAATGACTGTTATAGGCATGTTCCACAAGCCAACAACAAAGTCAGACACGCTCAGGTTGACAAGGAATGCGTTGCTTATACCCAATGCCTGTGGGGAAAATTGTCAAATATTTTGGTTCTTGGATCGGAGACGATGTTTCGATTTTGATAAAATTGTACGTGTAAAGAAGTTGGCAGACAGAGTTGTGACATCGTAAAGTGGAAGTGTCAAATCTAAAATAGAACATCACGACAGTTGATTATGTACGATTATAAAACTCAAAGATGTCAATAATCAAAGGTTGATGATCAAATGTCTAATCAAAATTCTACGTATTTGAACATCATGTCTGACAGGTGCTACAGTGATTGACCAATCAGCTTCAACCAATACATAAATCACCTGTACAAATTATACAACCTACCCGCTTATCACAAAGAAGAGCGAACCAAAACAGCACATTCCCAAGGACAGCGACCACGGCAAACACTGACATGCTCAAGCCCAGGGCTATCCTCTCTGCTTCCCCCGCCATTCCAGCCGGGTTAGTCATTCTGAGATAGTGTCATCATAAGCTAGCTGCTAACATACATCATGTATTTTATATACATTATGTATAGTGTAAACACATATGGTAACAAAATATTACATTACAATAATATATACCGAGGGCCACACGGTTTAATGAATAAAGAAAAAAGTTAAAACTCAGTTGAAAGTTTCTCCGTCAGCAAATTGAGTTCAAAAATCAAAATGCAGATAGTGATTAGATATCAGTAAATTTGAACTAAATTGAGGCTATGTTAAAGGATACTGGGCCGAGTGACTTAGGTTTAGCGACACCCATTGGGTATGGTCATAGTCTCAAGGAGAAAGATACCCAGAATTGCCCTTGATATATCAGTTTTGGTGGAACGAAGCACTGAAATTGAATCTTGTATCCTACGATCTGAAAGTACACGTCCTCACAAACAGTTCAAATCAATGCCTTAAACTCTTAAAGCGTCGGTTATAGTTCTTTAAAGCTTTAAAAGTTTAAAAACACCGAAACTATGCTTAGCCTAGACAAATCGTTTTAAAATAGATTATTTAAAATAGATTATTTAAAATAGATTATTTAAAATAGATTATTTAAAATAGATTATTTAAAATAGATTATTTAAAATAGATTATTTAAAATAGATTATTTAAAATAGATTATTTAAAATAGATTATTTAAAATAGATTATTTGAAATAGATTATTTGAAATAGATTATTTGAAATAGATTATTTGAAATAGATTATTTGAAATAGATTATTTGAAATAGATTATTTGAAATAGATTATTTGAAATAGATTATTTGAAATAGATTATTTGAAATAGATTATTTGAAATAGATTATTTGAAATAGATTATTTAAAATAGATTATTTAAAATAGATTATTTAAAATAGATTATTTAAAATAGATTATTTAAAATAGATTATTTAAAATAGATTATTTAAAATAGATTATTTAAAATAGATTATTTAAAATAGATTATTTAAAATAGATTATTTAAAATAGATTATTTAAAATAGATTATTTAAAATAGATTATTTAAAATAGATTATTTAAAATAGATTATTTAAAATAGATTATTTAAAATAGATTATTTAAAATAGATTATTTAAAATGTATTATTTAAAATAGATTATTTAAAATAGATTATTTAAAATAGATTATTTAAAATAGATTATTTAAAATAGATTATTTAAAATAGATTATTTAAAATAGATTATTTAAAATAGATTATTTAAAATAGATTATTTAAAATAGATTATTTAAAATAGATTATTTAAAATAGATTATTTAAAATAGATTATTTAAAATAGATTATTTAAAATAGATTATTTAAAATAGATTATTTAAAATAGATTATTTAAAATAGATTATTTAAAATAGATTATTTAAAATAGATTATTTAAAATAGATTATTTAAAATAGATTATTTAAAATAGATTATTTAAAATAGATTATTTAAAATAGATTATTTAAAATAGATTATTTAAAATAGATTATTTAAAATAGATTATTTAAAATAGATCATTTAAAATAGATTATTTAAAATAGATTATTTAAAATAGATTATTTAAAATAGATTATTTAAAATAGATTATGGTCGCACTTTCTTACAGAGTGATAGAACAAACAACGATTCATCCTTCTGCAGACTATAGACTAGTTTGTTGCATAGTTACATGAAGCCAAGCTGATGTAGGTACCTTGTATTTTCATACATAAGACTATAAGATATAGTCTTATATGTATGTCATTGTCAAGAAAGCAATAATACACGGATGAATTGTGTTCAAAGTTCAAACTTAAACAAAACAACAAAGAATAAAGATTAAAGATGCTATTGCTAAATTATACTGAGATTAAGAAAAGGGTCCAAATGCTTTTTGATTAATTCAGTTGTTGCAGAACTTCATTGTCTAGAAACTGTTTTATTTCAAAGGGTTGATCATCGCATCAAAATTCGATAATTCAGATCATCCATATGCAAAGTCAGAACATGGTCTGTCTACGAAATCGCTAATGGATCGCAGTATGGTTAAGTGGAACGAGATCTCAGCAAACTAAACGGAATTTAGAATCAATCACACGGTAAACTCGACACATATTTGCCCATCATTCGGAGGATGAGATCAAAGATCTCCCATTATCGAACTTGGGAAATGCTGGAAATGAATATCGAAATAAGTAATAACGTTACCCTCTTAAACCTGAACCGCTGCGAAATTGGAAGCTTTTCTTCAGAAAAGTAATTTCATAGAGATCAATCCGGGGCTTTGATCATGCATCCACAAAACTGGGATCAAGAAGATGGTGTCCAACGTGACCTAAATTTCAGGATACCCAATCATAACTTGCGTACAAGTCACGCAGCAGTGTGTCAGTTCAAAAAAATAAGGTTTCCCGCCATGCCAGAAACACCCACTAATGTGATCGAAGTTTACTTTACTAGATGAGAAGTACTGAAATCTACAATAATGGTGATGCCTGGTGTGTGCGCCTTACTAAAGTATACTGTGTACTTCTCCGGTTATAATATTATGTAACCCTTGGATAATATGAGATCTTTTAGTTGGACGCGTGGAGTTCATAATACGGTGATTATAATAACCTTCGAAATCCTATGATTAAGTCCTAATCCTCGCTTCACGTCCCCTACTCATCTCCTTCAACGTCCCATCACCTTATGTACTACATACATAATATGTAGTTTAACATATCTCCTTGGACTTGCTTTTATGCACACATCCAGAATTTCTATTAGCATTTAAATTATTATATTTGATTTTATTTCCACTTCGTGATATTGTAACGCGGTTAAATTTTAAGATTTTATTTTCATACTTTTATTCGGCTTTTGTTTTATATATGAACTTATTTATGAATTGATGTATAGCCAAAACGAGTCCGTTAGTGTTCTCCTTGGTAATTTCAAGTTTAATTCCAGTTTAATTTATAATACTTCGAGTACCTTGACGACGGACGATGTTCTAAATTATCTTACGAGAAATACTAAAAATTGCTTACTACCGTAAAGTAACCAAGTGATGACCATATAAAGATATAAAGAGTGTTACGGCTAGACATAGCTTACTGCCATATTGTACTCTTTTTCTCGTTTTTAAAGGGGGTATGTGATTATTACAGGTCCACGATAAGACGTATTGTCTAGCACTTCGCTTCTCCCTAGGTTTGGCGCGCGGAGATGGTGCTTTCAGACTGAAAATCAAAAGACTATCAAAGGAAAACAGTGGTAAATGAGTAACCATGTGTAAGTGAGACATAAGTATGAAGTTAACCACGGTTCAAACATGAACTGTGTTTGTTGTCCAGCTTCATCTTGGCACTTCTTGGTATATTGGTTGCTCAATCCTGTTACTAGAGTATATTCACTTTGTGATTGATTTATATTCGATGTAAATTATAATCATAAGATTGCAGAACAGTGTAAATCGCAATGTCTGTCCTGTTTTGCCTGTTCGTCAGCTTGTTCATTACCCCATAGTCATAATACTGACTGGGCACCAATTCATCTGACCTCTATAAGTTGTTCATCTATTCTAGGTTATTGAGAGGGTTGTGGTAGTCTGAGTCTCTAATGGCCCTGAAAGTCTCCGACTCCGCGGTGGTCATGGAACTGTTTTGTCATTAGTGATAGTGATACTATTGATGGTGATAACGTATCTGTAGTCGGCATGGTTCTTAATCTGTCTAAACAGCATACTTTTGTGGCAAGTTGGTCGTTTAGCTCCGGACAGTCTATACACACTCCCTGCACGGTCTATACACGGTCTATGCACGGTCCCTGCACGGTCCCTGTACAAGTGTACAGTAACATATGAACACCGGCTACTAACCGGCTACTGTGCAGGGACCGTGCAGGGACCGTGTATAGACTGTGCAGGGAGTACATGCATAGACCGTGCAGGGAGTGTGCAGGGACTGACCGTGCAGGGACCGTGCATCAAGTGTTCATTGTGCAGGGACCGTGCAGGGACCGTGCAGGGACCGTGCAGGGACCTTGCAGGGACCATGCATGGAGTGTTCTTTTGTTGTTGCATGGAATTGGACCGTGCAGGGACCGTGCATAGACTGTCCGGAGCTAAACGACCAACTTCCCTGCTTTTGTTTCATTAGGGGTGTAACAAATCACTGTTTTTCAAAAGTTGTGTTCTAAGAGCCGTGGTAACACTACTTTATAATTAACAGACCTCTATCAAATATTTGATCTCTGTGCTTAGTATATCATTATATTATATTTTACTAGAAAACCCGTGGTCACAGGGAGGAACCTAATAGTATTTTTTGGAATTCAGTTTTGATCGTGTCAGAAAGTATTCATCCCCACCGAAGATACAGCCAAATAAAATGTTGCTCGTACTATTACTAAACACAGCGTAATATCAACAAAACCGATTAAAATGACGTTAAAACAATCATTGCACGCGCGTGTAACAATCCTCGTTACCATGGTACTACCTATTTCTTATCTATTTGCACGTGGGCGGTCGTACAGTGTACAAAAAGAATTCTCTGAATTATAAGTAAGACTTGAAAACCCTTGGTCACAGGGAGGAAGCTAATAGTATTTTTGTTAGTAAGTTTAAATCGCGTCAAAAAATATCCTACACAACCGAAGATACAGCCAATTAAAAAGATGCTCGTACTAAACACAGCGTAATATCAACAAAACCGATCAAAATGACGTTAAAACAATCATTGCACGTGCACGTGCGTGTAATAACCCTCGCTACCATGGTTACTACGCAAGTTCATATTTTTCGTCTGATTTGCACGTGGGCGGTCGTACAGTGTACAGTATACGTACAGAACTACAGAAAGAATTCTCTGAATTATAAGTAAGACTAGAAAACCCGTGGTCACAGGAAGGAGGCTAATAGTATTTTTGTTAGCAAGTTTAAATCGCGTCAAAAAATATACTACACGACTGAAGATACAGCCAATTAAAATGTTGCTCGTACTAAACACAGCGTAATATCAACAAAACCGATCAAAATGACGTTAAAACAATCATTACACGTGCACGTGCGTGTAATAACCCTCGCTACCATGGTTACTACGCAAGTTCATATTTTTTCGTCTGATTTGCACGTGGGCGGTCGTACAGTGTACAGTGTACAGAAAGAATTCTCTGAATTATAACTTTATAAGTAAGACTAGAAAGCCCGTGGTCACAGGGAGGAACCTAATACTCTAATAGTATTCTTTGGAAGTCAGTTTTAAGCGTGTCAAAAAGTATTCATCCCCACCGAAGATACAGCCAAATAAAATGTTGCTCGTACTAAAGTACTAAACACAGCGTAATATCAACTAAACCGATAAAAATGACGTTAAAACAATCATTACACGTGCACGTGCGTGTAACAATCCTCGTTACTATGGTTGCTATGCAATTTCCTATTTCTCTTCTGATTTGCACGTGGGCGGTCGTACAGACAGACAGACAACAGAAAGAATTTAGAATTCTCTGAATTATGATATAGATTATACATAGTCCAATCCTATTTATACCTACTACCTAGACCTTTCTTAATCATGCTAGTTCAATAATGCTATAATGTTAGTCCTGTCAGTGACTAGATCAAATTAAGCCAACGATTTGTCAAATCTTCAAATGTGCATTGTGATGAAATCGTATCTTTATCAGACAAAGTTTTGTCAGTTATCGAATATTTGCTACTGTACATTTTGCAAGGAATCAACATAAATTACATGCCTTATATTTAGAATTTCAGTGTTTTCGATTCCGTGAGACGTTAAATATGTCTAGTTGGGATCACAAACTGCATCACGTGTGACGTGATGCAGTCTGTGGCATGGTGCTAGCTATAAACTTATAACTTTATAAAGACAGAATTTACTGCAGTACGTGACCGAGTCGTAACACTCCTTATATGGCCATCACGTGACCGAGTCTCTGGTGCGTGACTCGTTTTATACCGTCTTACTTTGAATATTCAGCTTGACCTCTGTAGACTGTCCGACCCGCTTTTTGTCAAATCTTAAGAGCTGAAGCTCTAGCTCAACTCTCAAGCCGGATATCAAGATGAAATGCATCAAATTTATTATCTTCATAACTTTACCTTTGTAACCATGATGAAGGTCTCAAAAAACGATTTAACCCCTCGTTAACAATAAAACTATAACTCATTAAGTTACGTGTCATACTCCACTTTCTCATCAGTTGATTGTGTGAGCAGCTTGTTGTTCTCGAACAAGTGATATTAATTGAAATGCAAAGGAAGATCATCTCCTGGTGCACGTGGCGGCCGGCGGGACAGAGAAGCTGGTCGCTGATTGGATGCCGTTCACGTGAGCCCGGCTGTGATTGGCCAATGATGGTCTCTCAACACCACGTGTTTGACGTGCCTCCAATATCAATTTGCAATGCGTTAAAAAAACGATATGACACAGTTTTTGATGATCGCAGTTACTTAAATGAATATTAAAGGCGGCCGTGTTCGTCGTCCGTCGATTTACGTTAAACAATTAAAGAAAAAAAGCCGTTACTTTTACTGTTCCATTTGTTTAATGAAGTTTCTGGCTCTTGCTTGAGTTGAGCGGACGGTTATTTCTAGTGAAATTGTTTTCAATAAGGTAAAGAAGGAGATCCTCAACAAATTGTTGCAATTATGGGTGACGATCATAGTTTGATAACAGAAGCGCAAAAGACTTATTTTGAAATAGTTTTGGTGTTCATTGGCTTCACTATCATATGCGGAAATGTCTTTGTATTGGTCACAATGTACAGGTTATTTCTTATTTCTCACATTTTCAGCAATTGCTCCTTTTTCTCCTTTAAAAAATCATTTATTGTTAGAAGTCATCATTTTTTCAAATAAATGCGCTGCACTAATTTGCAAAAATTTAAAATTATCTTTAACTACAACATGATAGCAACTTAGGGCTAGGCCGTTGCACTAACAATATCTTGATCATATCTTGAAATTCACCATAATAACAACCACAGGTACCCGAGGGTAAGGACAGTTTCTAACATGTTTATCATCTCCCTGGCGGTTAGTGACCTCATTGTGGGCCTGCTCACTGTTCCCGTTACTGTCACATCACTTCACACCGACCGTTGGATCTTTGGAAGTGGTAGCATTTTTTTCATAGTTGATTTTTTTATATAGTCGTTTTTTTTCTTTTCATAATTGAAAGATTATTTTGTTTAGGATTCAATAATGAATTCGTTATGCGTCAAATTCTAAGATTTTATTTGGCCAAATTTAATTTCTTAAGCCCTCGCCACTATTATTTAAAGAATAAACATTTTGTGTGAAATTAGGTATCTAGCCGTAATTGATAACTTATATTTCAGGTTTGTGCTCCTTCTCGGCATTTATGGACAATATGGCTATAGTGGCTAGTATATGGAATCTGCGTAAGTTATTATAGCTTTATAGAAAATATGGCTATATAGTGGCAAAAAACCCAGGGCATCAGGTCGGTCGCCGGACATCATATGCACTTTTATCATTGACACTTATGACCGGTACTAGTCACAACCATGTGTCTACACTCCATTTTTAATAACCGGTGTTAACATCACATCCCCCTAGAGATGAGCAGTATAGACAGATACGTGGCTATAACACGGCCTCTCCGCTATAAGAGTCTCATTACCTATAAACTCAGCTACATTATGATTGCTGTGGTGTGGTTTATCTGCGCTGTTCTCGCTATGTTTCCTCTCGTTGGTGAGACACCTGCTTTAAATTGCTATTTACATTAGGCTTGACTCTCAATATATCAAGATCACGGATGTTTTTAAACTCTTGAAACGAAGAAACGCGTTGCACCAAATTTTATTTAACCCGTTCATCGTTTCTAATTTCTATCATTGTAAATGCTGGTTAATAATTGTCTTGCCTTTGCAGGATGGGACAGGTACATTTACAGCAACAAGAGCTACAGTTGTGGTATTGACGGTCACTCCAACTACTTCCTGTGTTTCCTGGTTCTGGGAATATTCGTGCCTCTGTTCGTTACTATTTATAGTTACATCAACATCGGGTACTGTGCCATCAGACATTCTCTGTGTAAGTGAAAAAATGTATTTAAAAAAGATAAAAAGTGAAATCAGACATTCTCTATGTAAATGAAAACTGTATTTTTAAAAAGATAAAAAGTGAAATCAGACATTCTCTATGTAAATGAAAACTGTATTTTTAAAAAGATAAAAAGTGAAATCAGACATTCTCTATGTAAATGAAAACTGTATTTTTAAAAAGATAAAAAGTGAAATCAGACATTCTCTATGTAAATGAAAACTGTATTTTTAAAAAGATAAAAAGTGAAATAAATTGTACAACATCTGAGATCTCGTGAGTTTTATATGCCCGGAATATTATTTAGGATTTCTTAGAACATGTTAACAAATGAAACACAGGTTTGTTATGCTGGGGGACTATGAACTATGATATATATATATATCGCCTTATTCTTTATTAATCTTTATCATTATTATTATGCAACACTCAACAGGCCATTCAAATAACTTGGAATAGCTGTGGAAAAGTTGATATAAAATTTATTATAAAATTTATTAGACAAATGTTTTCAAATTTTGCGTAATGCTTATTTGTTTCAGCATCGAAGCAGACAAAAGAAATGCAAGGAATCGCCATGCAAAAGCAAGCAGTAAAGAAACGGAACCTAAGGTAAATTAAAACCTTGATAGTGAGTTACGAAAATCACTTTATTAAACTATTAAAAAGCTGTCATGGACAGTTCACCGTTTAGAAATAAATTAAAATCGACATAGTGACTAGTGAGCCAGGACAAATATTGTAAATTGAGCATCGAACCATCAAAAAGCTGTCATAGTCAAATCATAGTGACGGATTAAGAATAAAAATAGATTATTGGACAGGAGTAAAACCAAGTTATAGTATAATAATTATTATAATGACGGATTAAGGATAAAAATAGATCGGACAGGAGTAAAACCAATTAATTTACAGAATCTCCGTCACTGTACTCTCCATTATTGGTGCCTTCATCGTGTGCACCCTGCCACTGTTTGTAATGGGACTACTACAGTATTGTGGAGTGCAGTTCCGAACTAAACACCTTACTGATATGGTATTGTATAACTTTGATATTTCTTTTTCCAAGAATTTCAGAGAACTTTCTAGAATATGCTCGTCGGTAATGGCATTTAAGAGTGGGATGGGCTTTAAACTATTTAAATTTAAATGATCATTTTCAAGAATAAGTTAATCAACCATTGGGTTTTAAAGTCAAATTAGGATCTGACTATTTAAATTCTTAATGCATTAAAATATGGAATCCCAAATAAGGGTTCTTTTTACATTCTCTTATTAGCCACCAGGTATACAAATTACAAAGTCAAGGGGTTACAAGGTTGTTAAATTGGGATGAAGTTAAAATGGATTAGAAAGCGTTCACATTTTACGTCAGCAACCGACGGAATGTCCACATTCTTCTACTGACAATAACTTTGAAACTTTCAGTTTGTTCATGTCCTGTTACTGAGTAATTCAGCGCTGAACCCCATCCTCTACAGTTTCGGAACATACCAATTCAGGGAGGCCTTCGTGGACTTGATATACTGTCGGACTACAAGTTATCAGCTTCAGACTAGACAATTCAGGTACTTGATATACTGTCGGACTACAAGTTATCAGCTTCAGACTAGACAATTCAGGTACTTGATATACTGTCGGACTACAAGTTATCAGCTTCAGACTAGACAATTCAGGTACTTGATATACTGTCGGACTACAAGTTATCAGCTTCAGACTAGACAATTCAGGTACTTGATATACTGTCGGACTACAAGTTATCAGCTTCAGACTAGACAATTCAGGTACTTGATATACTGTCGGACTACAAGTTATCAGCTTCAGACTAGACAATTCAGGTACTTGATATACTGTCGGACTACAAGTTATCAGCTTCAGACTAGACAATTCAGGTACTTGATATACTGTCGGACTACAAGTTATCAGCTTCAGACTAGACAATTCAGGTACTTGATATACTGTCGGACTACAAGTTATCAGCTTCAGACTAGACAATTCAGGTACTTGATATACTGTCGGACTACAAGTTATCAGCTTCAGACTAGACAATTCAGGTACTTGATATACTGTCGGACTACAAGTTATCAGCTTCAGACTAGACAATTCAGGTACTTGATATACTGTCGGACTACAAGTTATCAGCTTCAGACTAGACAATTCAGGTACTTGATATACTGTCGGACTACAAGTTATCAGCTTCAGACTAGACAATTCAGGTTAATGTTACATAGTGATGTTGGTGTAAAACTTGGCTATAAACGAGAAGATCTGATAACTTATTAAAATAATTCTATTGCATGCTACAAACAGCTAAAAGAAAACTTATTGATAAAGGTCATTTACATGTAGCTTATAATTCTCGTGTATTGACTATTGACCTTATCGGGAAACGATGCTTTGCAAACAAATGTGTGTTTATGTTCAATTTCCAAGAAAAATAACTCTAGGCTATCAACGTATGTTTTAATGAATTAGATATATAACAACATCAATATATAACAACATTAAGAACAACATTAAGAACAACATTAAAAACAACATTAATATATAACAACATTAAAAACAACATTAAGAACAACATTAATATATAACAACATTAAGAACAACATTAAGAACAACATTAAGAACATGGTTAACTCCAGGGCCAGAACAACAACTCGTGCTGAACCAGCCAACTCCCAGTCACAACGATTCACTGATGAAAACGTCAGAGCCAAACGTGTTGTCAAGGTAACAAATAAGTTTTAAAGGGCGTATCACGCTGTAGTTGTGTTTGTGGTTGTCAAACACAATAATATTTGTAATATGATTAATCTATGGACCTATGGTGCTTAAGTTTTAAAACCTTCTTTATTTGATTGTTTATTGCATATTTTGTTTAATGAATGAATGAATAAACTTCCCTGCAGCGTGCGAGCAGTGATGACTTGACAGTGGCAGTGGATACAATGAGAAAGGAGAAGGAGGGTAATGTGAAGGAGGAACACAATGCTATTAGGTTATCTGAGATTAAGAGCATCAAATTCGGGAATACGGATGAGATTCTTCAGATTTAGGGATTGGTGATGGCTTATTTGAGTTATAAGCTCAAAGAAGAGAATTGCGTAGGTTTTGGACATTTTCGTGAGTGGAATAATTGATTTTGGAGATTCTTAACTATTAAGAAATGGGCTATCTATTTAGCTTTTGAGTTTATTGAGCAGCTATAAGGTGAACTGGAATGCTAAAAAAGTCAAAGAACAAAGTAATTATGTGTTGATGTTTTGTGATTTTCTGTTGAATATGGCGATGGAAGAATTTAGTTCCTACGATATTTATATAACGGAATCAACCGCTTATACTAGTCCCATTAATGCAATGTCCGGCCCCTTTGCGGGTCTACAGCTAAAATTTTGTGCTGTAGTAAGCTGAATTTTTATTGCTTGCTTGTTTGTTAAATGATCAATTTGTGTTTCAACCAAATTCTATTTTTGTTTTAAGAAAATGATCTTCGTGGAATATAAAACAGCATTGTAATCAAAACGGCCGTCGGACTGTAATCCAACTTGAAGATTACGAATGGTGAATAGCAGGTTACAAAGTGATTTACATCTGTAAAGTTACAAAAATAAAAAGCAAAATATCAAAAAATCGTCAGAAACCACCACCAAAAGGTATCTTGCACCACCGTAACGCTATTTACTCAAACCCCAATCATGATATTGAATCACTTGTTGCATATGTAAATATGTATTTTTATGATTGGTAGAGCTCCTCACCCGACCCCCTTTTGTGTGATTGAGAAAGCTCCCCACCCGACCCCACCCTCCCCCCTCTTGTTTGATTGATACTTGTTTCACTTTTATATATCCCAGCTGGCTTACGCAATGTGCAAGCTCATCCTCCCAAAACACAGATGGTATTTCCGGCACATTTGTAATGCTTGCTACACATATGATACAAGCTGTTTTGTTGTTTGCTCTTATCTGATAAGGAGAAGAGAGGACTGATTATTACCAAACATGTCCGCGGTAAGATTTTAGACCTTCCAGTTGCAGAGTGCTGCAGACAAACTACTTATATTGATAAATTTTGTTCTTAGTCACAGCACAATTATGCTTTATTTTTCAATGGACGTTGTTAAAGGTTCTATCGGAGTGCTCCAGATTTTAACTAGATGTTGCTAAAACGTTGACATATTCTTTATCTCAGCTGGTGAATAAATTGGTAGGTAAGAAGGACGATGAGGAGGAGGAGCAGAGGAAAAAAGAGCACCTACACCATCATCATAGACACCACAAAGACAAGCATCGTCAACCGAGCGCTAAACTCGCAAAGGTCTTAACTTTACCCATCAGCCTGTTAACTCGATTCATAATCAGTCTTATTTACTGTGCAAACTTAAGTTGAAGAGCGAGCTTTTAAATACACATGATCGGGACAAGACTTGGATATTTTATTTGCTTTGTAAGATTCAGTATGTTCTCAGGATGATACTCCAGCCCACACGGTGCCTCAGTTGGAGAGGAAGATACTGACCCTCCGAGATCACTTGGAACACGACCTTGGGGAGAAGGACGCTCTTCTTAAACTCATTATATCTGGGATTCAGAACTTAAATGATAATTTAGATGGTAGGAATCCAATGTTTATTTGTAGGATTTTGGGTCGCTACCCTATGAATTTTGAAAATATGGATACATTTAAGCTTATGATAAATTGATCAACTCTTCCGATAAGAAAGACCTTTAAGACACTATTTGCTAAAATCAGTGCCACGTGAGGCTGATTTCATCAATCTGTCAGGAGAACGAAATGAGCGCTGTGACGATGTAGATGAACTACACAACCATTGTAAAAAGTTGAGACAAGCACTTGATCAAGAAGCTGACGAGCGATATGGGGTGGATCAAAGTCTTCAAGCGTTTAAGTGAGTCATCACATGGTGAAATAAAGCGAATCTTTACAGCATCAAAGATTTATTAGCTAATATTTTGGCATAATTGGATAAAATATCCAAATATGTTTATTTATTTTTGTAATGACAACATTTCTCACAAAGGTTCTTAACAAAATTGTATATTTCCCCAGGGATCATTCTGATTATGCAGATTTGGAACTGAAGGGAGATATTGAACTCCTTCAAGAATTTCAACGAGACACTATTGAGGACAAAAAGATTATCATGGGTAATGCTCTTTTCATACTTTCGAGTCAAAGTTTTTAAATATATCGTGAGAAATACTGGAACTGCACTTTTTTTGCACATTCTTTTAATTTCAATGGAATTACTTATAATGCTCATACAATTTTCAGGAGCAATAATGGAGTTGGAGGAAAAGTTAAATGAAGTTCGCTCATCCCATGGACACCGAATAGACGACATCAGCATTAACCAGGGTCAGATTAGGAAGGTAATGATAGTAGTCAATAAATAACTATAACTAAAAAGAATAGTAAGTTAAAATGTAAAAACCGTACCATCGGCGATTCGGCAGAACAGACATTTTGCCACTGTGGTGTATATGATTCAAATTTCATTTGAATCATATACACCACAGTGTATAGATTAAATTAATGTAGATTAAATAAGATCCTTACACAAATGAATTCCGCAGATTTTGATTACCTGTGCACTATTTTCTGACTAGTCTGCATTTTTTCTGACTAATCTGCATATTTTCTGAGTAGTCTGCATATTTTCTGACTAGTCTGCATATCCGGTTATATAAATTACATTTTGATACTAAACTAACTTTTAGAGTATCGAAGAACAGATACAGATCATACACAGGATACAATTGAGCGACTTTGAAAACGCAACCCTGAAAATAACCGATATCCAAAGTAAACTTCAAGAGCAAATCAAGACTCAAGCTGAGGATTTTAGGTGAGAATTAATGGACCACTTAAGCTTTTAGCACTTATTCTCACAGGAAAAGAACAAGCTCCCGTATATTTGATTTATAAATCATTTAAAAAGCATTTAAATAAATGTAAATGCTTTAACGCTATATTTACAACCATTTATTTTTATTTAAACGGTCACCATGTCATATGTATCAAAAGAGCCGCTCGAATATTGAATCAGTAATAAATTCTCGAAACTCAGGCTGTTTACCATGAGATTAAAAAATTAAAACAACTATCTGATCTCACTAATCTCACTCTATTATAGGGAGCTAACTGTGGAAGCGAACAAGTCGATGGCACGACAAAGCAAAGAGATGCAAGTGATAAAGAGGCAGGTTGAAGATCGGATTGAGTCCCTGAACGGTACTGTGGATAAAAAGGAAAGAGGGCTCAGTATCAAGCTGCAGGAGACCAGAGACAAATTTGTTAAGGTAAACGGTGTGGATTTATAAAGTTGCTGTTCGGAATTGGTGTTGGTCGAATTTCATTCAGGTTATAAACGGTTACGTTTGTTTTCTGAAAAATTATTGAAATCGTATTTGAAATTGAATTTCAAAGGAAAATCTTCAGATTGAAGATAGGTTCAGTGAGGTTACAACTAAATTTGCGACAGTAAGCGGAATAGTTGAGACTGCTATCGACCAAATCCATTCGACACGAGCGAGAGCTGAGGAAGCAACGGATATTCAGAAAAATAGATTCGAATATTTTGATATGTTCATGCAAAGCTTGAAGCAATCCCAAGCAACGATTGATAGTCGAATAGGGTTCTTGTACACTATTGGTAAGTATTAATTTTATTTTATCGGTACAAATTGGAATTTTAGATCGAGTCCAAATTCTCTCGGAGGTTTTAAACTTAAATGGACCTTATGCAAAATATCACTTTATCGGGTAATCAACCCACGTACTGTGCAGTGAACGAACTGCGGTGGAGGGAACGCGCGGAAACAGCTCGAACTAACCGAGTTACTCGCCAGCACAGCTCCTCTAACTTGGTAGGGGATGATGTAAAGTCCACCAAGTCCGGCAAGTTTGTTACCTACAGTCATGCTTGTGAGTATAGTTTGCCGCTGATACTTTAGATTAATTCACCGCATTTGTACAACTTTTAAGTTTTATTGTCACCAGGATTTACCCGTAAGAGCTTACAAGGAAATTGTCCTTGAGTGCTGATAACGTGCATATATAATTTAAACTGTTCAATAATTAATATGAATGAGGATGATAATTCTCGAAGATAGCTTTAAAAATACTGTTTCAGCTGTGGACTTTGTAGAAGTCGACAACTTAACTCAAGCGGTCAACGACATTGAAATGGAAATGAAAGGTATAAATAGCATTTATTGGAAATATTTAGAATATTTAGAACATTTGGAACATTTAGGACATTTAGGACATTTAGGACATTTAGGACATTTAGGACATTTAGGACATTTAGGACATTTAGGACATTTAGGACATTTAGGACATTTAGGACATTTAGGACATTTAAGACATTTAGGACATTTAGGACATTTAGGACATTTAGGACATTTAGGACATTTAGGACATTTAGGACATTTAGGACATTTAAGACATTTAGGACATTTAGGACATTTAGGACATTTAGGACATTTAGGACATTTAGGACATTTAGGACATTTAGGACATTTAAGACATTTAGGACATTTAGAACCTTAAATTGATTTGTTATCAACAAACCACCTCCAGGTGTCTATCTAATTACTAATCGGTGGAATTTTGGAGAAGAAATTTCCTTGTGTTCAAAATGAATAAACTTTTGATTTGTCAGTTTTTCAGTTAGATTTATGAGGTTAGCAAAGAAAAACATGCTAGAAAATTAAACTCGGGTCCTTTAAATGGGCGACAACTTTTGTATGATGACCGAGCCATACCACGAGAATGACAATATAATTACAAATTTATAAGAAATGATTTTCAAAATCGCCTTCAATGCATTTGACGTCTCGGTCACCATGCTTTTGTTTCAGGGCATATCAATATAACTTGACAAAATCAGCATATTGGTGTCAAATCATTCAGCGATGAACGCAAAACGAGGCATTTATTGAACTCTTAAGTCTTAGTCTTACTCTTAACCATATTTAACCAAGGGAAACAAACTCTGACAAATTTAAATTTTATTTGTCAAATTTTGTTTCCTGTGAACAAATATGGTTAAGATTTAGACTTAAGAGTTTAATAAATGCTGCGTTAAAACCAATCGCTGAATTTATGACTGATCGCTCAAGAGTTGATATTCAGTCGACTGTGATGTAAAACTTTACCTGGGGAGTAGGGACCCCAGGCTATACATTATAATGTTCATAAACACAGGCTGAGCGCCGCCCAGTAAGTAAAACTTTGTACTTGTTCAGCTATTATGAGAGTAAGAAAAGCAACTCACAAATCTAATAGTGATGACATAATATCACAAGACGTCCTCATGTATAATGGTATGCGTAAAGATTTCGATAGACTTTGATATTCAGAGACGTCACAAAAACCATTAAATTCCCAGCAAAGAGCGAAGTTTTGACAAATAAAATATTTATAACCATTTGTATGGGGTGTCGTATAATTATCGAATTATTGCAGCAAAGATCGAGGTTTTGACAGATAATCTCGAGCAGCACCGAAAGGAAACTCTACATGCAATCAGCAGAGCACGAGATAAAAGTCTGAGTTCCACCACTGCAGTAGATAAACTTCAAACTGTAGTTGAGAGAATGAACGAGAAGTTCTCTGATATAACCAGGTAAATAAAATAGACTTGCAATAGGTGGATAGGTTAAACGACCCATGATTCGATTGAAATCTTCGTAGGTCAAAGTATTAGTTTAAGGTAGACTCGCCACTGCTATTTAAAAAAGGATTGCACACTTCATTGCAATATATTGGGTTCTGTGATTCTGCAACAAATTTGCAATCAGTTGATTTGAAAATTTTAGGATAGAACAGAATATACCATGTCAATGAAACCATCACCTGCTACACAGACGGATCACGCACAGACTCAGGTAGCGGGGCTGGTTATATTATCACCACTGACAACAACAACACTACACTAGAGGAAAGATCATTCAAGTTTCCCGAATATTGCACCGTTTATCAAACAGAACTCACTGCCATAATCGATGCTTGTAAATATCTGTCAAGTTAATATACCAACACACACATCATCATATGGTCAGACAGTCTCTCCTCTATTCAAGCTATATCCTCACCCTCAACGAGGAGTATAACTACTAGAGACTGTTACGACACCCTCAATACACTCGGATCCACTAACACCTTAGAGATCAGATGGATAACTGCACACATCGGATTGTGGGGTTAAAAAAAGCAGACGAGCTGGCCAAAATTGGCACAACCAGTGAATCCACTTTGAATTGCCCAATTGCACAATCTTACATCAAACTCCTGATCGACGACAAGGTCACCAAACTTAATCAAGAATCATGGATTACTGATGGTCCCAGACACACTAAACTGACACTCGGACACAAAAACATCAACATCATCAAAAATCTCAACACTACACTCAGTAACAACAGACAAAATTACAGAACTGCAGTGCACCTCATCACGGGACATTGTGGCCTTAACAAACACCTACATACCATTCGCAAATCAGACACAAGTGCTTGTCCTAAATGATATTGTTTATCTATATTTTCATAATATGAAGTCAAATCAAGGGTCCCGGAAAAAAAGGTTTTGGTGTATGTCCTCTTAAGCTTTTATGATAGTGATGCATACAAATTGTAGCGAAACAGTAAAAGGTCAAGAGCTGAGAGAAGGTGGAGATATGGCAAAAAAAGTAATAAATCGAATTCAGGTACTTTTGGCTAAGATTTAAATTAGGGCACATATAAAGTTATTTATACGACATAATGTATGTGAATTATAATATGCGAAATGCGAATATGTGGACATCTTACAAATAATCTTTATAACATTAATACGAAGACAACTAATCGAGAGTTTCTTAGCGATGATGAATCATAACTGCAGACACCACGTGACTCAATAAAATTTAATCAACGATATTTAACGTCCATGGCTGTAGTTGTAATAGTTAAATTAATATTAAATCAATTTATGAAATTAGTGTGCTATTAAATTCCGACGAAAAATAATCGCATATTTGACGTAAATACAGCATACCAATAAATGACAAATCTAATATTATATTTCTTAATTAAAAGTCAATCCATAAAATAATCCACCCATATCAAAATTAAACTCCCGACATCAGGTTAGAGAACGAACTAGGAGCAGTCCAGAAGAAAAGTGATCACATGGAAGAGAAAGTGGACCACCTGGAGGGAGTGAGTGAGAATGCCAGCACTAAGGTAGACGTCCTGGCCAGAAAACTGTGGGACGTGTTTGATAGTGATATGAATCTCAACCAGTTTATTGACTACCATCTTAAAGATGATAAGGTTTGGGGTTTTGTAGCGTATTGTAATAGCTTAAGTGAAAATTGAGAGTGGGGACTTTTATGTAACCGTATAATTCTTAATAATATCCTTATTCTTAATATCTTGATATGTATGATGTATATAATATATGGATATAGGATACAGACGATTGGGATGTTAGTGTTTAGCCAGTATAATAACTCTATAAAATATAAAATATAGATATAACACTACTATTCAGCCTTGGCAGTATAATTAAAGAAATGACACCTTGCTCACAGGAAAGGCTTTGGAGGTTGGAGTACGATACAAATCATCTGAAACACATGACGATAGGGGAAAACGTTGAAGAAGACACCCTCCCCCTCCACTTACAGGTATGATGTAAACTGGCACAGTTGTACAATCACGGCTACAATTCATAATTTAATGCAAACTTTCGTGAGGTTGATAGTTTAATATGAAATTTGCAAATGTAATATTAATTAACGTTAAAGTTGTCACGTTCAAAATGCAATGTCTGTTCAGATTAGTATATATGCATAATTTGACAGTTTAAGTGCATCAGGTGCTGCCTAGCCAGTACTGTCAAATTCGAATGTTTGTTCGATATATAATTAGCAAGTACGACAGTTTATGAGTGCATCACATGTTCAACCTCACATGTTCGATATCTAATTAGCAAAATAGCAAATACGACAGTTTATAAGCAAGTGCATCACATCCTCGGAAGGACATCACATTATAACGAGTGTTTGTATTTTACACGGTCGGTTAACCCCAGAACACAACAAGTTGAAGAAGAACATAAAATAATCTTGTCAGTTATATTTATAAACATGGTAAATTATTTAATTAATTAGGAATGTAATTAATCACACAATTAACTACATAATTAACCACCTAATATGTAACATAACACAGAGCCCTCCCCCCAGAACACCACAGTGATAGGAGAAGTTGACCATGTGAAGAAGAACATATCACGGTGTTTGGTGAAGAGCGAGCAGCTGGTTGATGACGTCACTAACATAGCCAAACAGAACGATATGATACGCAATGATATGAGGGACCTCAAGCTGTTGTGTGATTATCTTAGCAGCAAAAACGATGAAACTCAGAGGTAGAGCTTATTGCTTAATAACAGATTGAACGATTAATAATCTCCTTGATTAAATCAGATTCAGCGAATCCAAGTTTCCATCGCACTTACATCGTCCAAAAACTGAGTAACGGTAGATTTAATTATTTCGCCGATTTAATGCCGAGGATAATTACTGGCATTGGCAATGAAGTAAATGACCCGAGCTGTAATATTGTAAAATATTGTTGACTACTTGAGCTAAAGGAAGCTTGACTAGCCGAGCTAAATAGTTTAGAAAATACAAGAGTTCTGGGGAATAGCTAGATAATCCGATGATAATTCCACTGCTTGCCACAAGTTTTATAATCCTCCAAAGCTCCAAGTCAACTACTGCCGTGTCAGTTATAAGGAGGTTTAGGTCGTTTTGAAGCATTGTCTAATGTAACTTCAACCCGCTTAATTTTCATCATAGATGGTAGATCACTAAACTGCAAAGAGCAGATAATATTTACAAAATTTGTATTTAATTGAAAAGCAAATTTTGGAAGCTCTGAGCGAAAAACTGTAATTTTCACATTGCTGATCGCTTGTATGAAAGACGAAATTTAGAAAACATTTCCTTCCACAAGATTCAAATTATGCAAACAAGGCCATTTATAGTTAATAGTAAACGTCAAGTCCTAAAAATTTTTAGTCAATCGTACTTAACAACTTAAACCAACAATTCTTTTTTTCGCAGGTACTGTAGTGCATTGAGAAAACACTTAGAGTACACAAACAGAAAGCTGGATGCCTATGAAACAGGTGGAAAAATACCCTTCCGAATTTTCAGGAGCGAGAGTCAGATTTATGACTTTGAAGGTGAGAAAAGATATTTTGAGTTGGCTGGATAGTCTTTAGTTCCAGCTTAATCCAATGTAACTAATGAATATTCAGCGTGTCTGCGCGATGAGCACTTTTACTTAAATTATACTAAAGTGACCGTGCGATAACATATTACACTTTCAGAAGATTTACCGCCGCTAGAAAAGAAAAAGAAAACACCTCTTGAGAGCCCTAAGCCATCCACGCCAATCTTTAACCTTTTTATGAAGTAAGTTTTATAACTTTTGCCCATTACATGTAATTGAAAGTGAAAACAAAGCTCGTTATATCCTTGTCAATATGTTAATGTAATGTATAATGTATGTAATGTGTAAGCTTACATCTTACTATATATAAAGCGAGACGATATATATATATATTTATCTGTGCCATTTTACTGACACCACGGCATCAACTTTAACGCGAATTTCTGCAAAAACTGTTAAAGATATACAACTGAAACTTTTTTGACTGGGTCAAATGCTTTAATGGCCTCCAAATCAGCATGAAAAAATAAAAAATTGCCCAAGAAATAGGAGTTTTAGGGCCCAAGATTTGGTACCCCAAGTGGTGTCAAGAACGCGAATTAAATAGGTAATATTGTTTTAGTCTTGACACCATTTTAGGGTTAGACGGGTTCCTGCTAGTGTATATAATGTATAATCTTACATGTATGTAATGTATAAGCTTACATGTATGTAATGTATAAGTTTACATGTATTTAATGTATAAGCTTACATGTATATAATGTATAAGCTTACATGTATTTAATGTATAAGCTTACATGTATTTAATGTATAGCTTACTATACCATCTATTTGTCCAGAAACACTACCATATGGACAGATGATTGGGAGTTAGTCAAGAGACCAGTAATAGCATAGTAGGAGCGTAGAATGTTTGGGCCCAGAAAAACATGTTTAATACCGCTATGAACCCGTCATAAGCCGGGGACTACTATGAAAATGATGATGCTGTGTTGTTGAAAGACCTTCGACCAATCAAAGATGTACCTCATCACGCCAAGCAGTTATGCTTGTAGGTGAATATACACTTATAGAGTACAACAACTTTATAACACTCCTATAAGCTTACATGTATATAATGTATAAGCTTACATGTATTTAATGTATAAGCTTACATGTATTTAATGTATAGCTTACATGTATGTAATGTATAAGTTTACATGTATTTAATGTATAAGCTTACATGTATATAATGTATAAGCTTACATGTATTTAATGTATAAGCTTACATGTATTTAATGTATAGCTTACATGTATGTAATGTATAGCTTACATGTATGTAATGTATACGCTTACATGTATTTAATGTATAAGCTTACATGTATATAATGTATAAGCTTACATGTATTTAATGTATTATAAGCTTACATGTATGTTATGTATACGCTTACATGTATTTAATGTATAAGCTTACATGTATGTAATGTATAGCTTACATGTATGTAATGTATACGCTTACATGTATTTAATGTATAAGCTTACATGTATATAATGTATAAGCTTACATGTATGTAATGTATAAGCTTACATGTATGTAATGTATAAGCTTACATGTATATAATGTATAAGCTTACATGTTTATAATGTATAAGCTACCATGTATTTAATGTATAAGCTTACATGTATGTAATGTATAAGCTTACATATATGTAATGTATGTATAAGCTTACATGTATGTAATGTATAAGCTTACATGTATGTAATGTATAATCTTACAAATTTCCCATCTGATTCATCTGTGCCCTCATTTTCAGGAACAAAGAAAGACGCGAACAAGAAAGTCCTACTGTAAGAGAAGTCGAAGCGTTGAATCTCAAATCTAGACAGCGGGTGCCAACCCCTGAAATTAAATCAGCCGTTCCTGCAAAGCCTAAAACTAAGCCTTCAAAAAAGAACAAAGCGCCTAAACCTCCTCCTTCTCCTCCTAAAAAAGAAGGTATCTTATACAATTGTTTGATAAAATAATAATCACTTTATAATGTTTTACTTAAAACTCTAAAAGAATAAAGACGGATAGAATACAAAAAAGTTTGTTCTTTGGACGTTGTTTGAATAGTCAATCAACAGTTTTTCGTATACTTTTTTGTGTATCTATAATAGAACGAATCCAATATCCATTGTAAACAGTGGAACATGGATCATTAAACCTCGATCGTCAAGTATAAATCTGCGCTGCTCAAGGGTTGTTTCAACAAATAATTAAAACGAACAGCTCAGCAGCTTCTAATAAATGAAAAAGGAATTTATATCATCTTAAAGTACTCTACATTAAAAACTTGCTACGTTTTGTTGTACAAAACACAGTAAAACAATCAAAACAGTGAATTTTTCTACATTGTATAAATTACATTGTCACAATACGTATGATCGTGTGATTAGGAGCAGAATTAAGGAATACTCTGGCAGATTATATTTGTAATAATGTAGTTTAAAATAAACACTTCTTCGCGCCTTATTTGGCTCTTATACCAATGCTAAGACAATGTCTGAAAAATTTAAGACGATGCAAAATGCAATTGAAGATTGATAACTATTAATTTTCGTGTTCATGACATTGTCTTGGCGGGGCCTTATAATCGTTCAGCATTTAAAATTCTTCCGAGAATATATATCTTTCAAATAGAATAGTTCTTTATGATACTTTGAGGAATTTTCTAAGTCCGTCCATCATCGATTCGTGACAATAATGCTTATATACAGTTTATATATAATATATAGTTTAATTAGATTTCTAAAATAGTACACAGGAAAAACCCTACTACCATTGCCACGACAATAACTGAAATGATTTTGACCGATCTAGATGATGCTAAATGTTTTTGCATGTTCATGATATTGTCTTATTCTTATATTTGAGAGTTCCTCCAAGACTTTGTTTCTTTCAAATTAGAAGAGATCTGTGAACTACTTAAAGGAATTTCCTAAGTCCGACAGTCATTGCAACACACATCACCACAACCATAGCTCCCGTGGTATAGCAGTAAGAGTGAAGGTCAAACAGGGACGGTGCAAACATCGAGAAGATGTAGAAAATGTAAAACACGTTATTTACAACTGCGTAACCCAAAGAAGTTCCCTCCCCGAAGATGATGCCAGAGACGGTGTAGAAGGTGATGCTTATCCCACTGTCAGCTAATCCAATCAAAGCACAGATCACGACAACAAAGATGGAGTCAGGTGTTATGTAGGTCTCACCTGATATGTCTATACCAGACGCAGCACCCTTTGGGAAGATCAGTATGGATATAGCCAGCGATGCCAGCAGCATGAGCGACTGCAGGACGATGCAGAAGGTGCTGTTCAACCATTTTGAGAGAAAATTCCAAGATGCTGATCCTATAAGATATGAGGCTCCAATGGTAACTGTAGTCAGAGGAATGAGGCCTCTTTCGTCGGAGATGGAGGCTGTTGCTGTTGGTAAGATTTTGTAAAAGTAACCCCAAATGAACGCCCAGTATACTAAAGGAAGCAAAAGCACCCAGAATTCTAATCGTTGAACCATGATGTTGAACCAATTTTTAGTATACTCAAAAGAATGGTTAAATTTAGAAATATCAAATTCAAAAACAGATTTAGCAGATTCTTTGTCATCAAGGGAACCTTCTTTTACCGTAAGTGGATCTGTTGTTCCGCCATTTTCTGCAGATATATCTCCATTCGTCTCTTTTATATCACCCTCATTTTCTAGTGGCTGATGTCGGTATTTATCATTTTTAATCTCAGACAGACCAACAGCAGCAAGGACACCAGCGAAGCACGTGACCCCACCACACATCCCATAAACTACAAATCTGTTGGTTTCAGAGATAACAGTGATATTATCAAAGTAGATATAGCCACATAATCCTCCTATCATATCGCCCAGTGACTTTGCAATCCAAAAGTAGGCCATGTTTCGTATTCCTTCGCCCTCTTGTGAGTTATCCATCACGACCATGGGGCAAATAATCCACAATCCTCCCCAGCCCAGACCAGCCAGGAACCCTCCCAGATAAATGAGATATTGATTCACAACCCAGATCATACTCCAATAGTAGGCAGTAGTGATGATTATGGTAAGGGTTATTGTGATCTTTATTCCAAGGAACCTGTAAACTACAGGGAATATAAAACCCATGATTATTGACCCAATCACCCCCACAATCTCCGAGTAATATCCGACCTGTAGGGCTAAATCTGTACTCTCCGCCAAGGTAATGTTCTGGACTGCAGCTGCAGGGGTCCCAGCCATGACGCAGATCATCATTGTTAAGCTGGCTATCAGGAGATTCTGCGTTCTCGCGTCACAACAGGATATCATATTCATTGTTATCGAGTTAACGTGAGTACTGTGGTAAAGATATTAAGAAACTGTTTACACCATTAAAATATTCAAAACCCCTAAAAGAAATCAAGTCATCCTAAAATGGTGATCAGTACAGATCAAGACAGCTAGAGTTAAAATTTGTTTCTCCAAGCAACTCTATCATCGGCTAATATCTATGGTAAAGATAGAAGATCAGATTAAGGGTATAAATTCTCTAATCTTTATTCTATGTGGATAATGATTCGTTCATCCAGTTCTTGAGTTCTGATCTAGTTAGAGTAATTAAGAATTATGTTTTAACCAAAGGTGTGTAGGAAGGCCTGATCAATTTAAGGCCTGATCAATTTAATTCCGCTGTTCCTGATACTACACCAAATTAATTGTCTAGCCCAGAGAGGTGATAACTCAATCATTTGTTGTGATATCGAGCCTGAAATTTTGAATGAAAGTTTTTTAAATCTTTTTGTTGATTTTTTTGGACCTCAAAGTAACAAAATAAATTTATTTAGGCATAATTTTCGTTATTCGTATTAACAGAAATTCGTATTAACAGAATTTTCTAAAATTTCGATAGGAATGTGCTAGAAACTTTTGAAAGAGTGCAAAATAACCACAACCAGCACAAATATTTGATATGCCCCATCAATTAATGGGGCGATGTCCGTTATCAAAGTACCAAGGTTGGATCTCACTACACAGTTATAATTAGAGGTTTTATGTTCTGTTCTGAGCTGTTAATTTAAATTCCTGAATCTTCTCTACCTAGATATCTTGGTTCTTTTGCGATAGTGTAAGCGCGACAGCTAGCGCCATCAAGCGAAAACTAACGCTGGATAGCGCTAGTTGTCGCCATCCAGCGCTTGTAGTTGTGGCTAACTAGCGCCAGTGCAAACTATAAATTTGCGATAACTAGCGCTAGCTAGAGCTAGTTATCGCTGGATCGCGCTGAATGGCGCTGGATCGCGACAACCAGCACTATCCAGCGCTAGTTGCCGTCCGGCGTCCAGCTATGCGAAATTGTCGAACCCGATAGTTTGCGATAGCTATATCTTGATATTTTGATACAGCCGTCATGACCAAATGTCAGAAAAGAAAAATAATTAAAAGGAAATATTCTTGGTGCTCTATTATAACAATAAGTATATTCAGTTCAAATTTTTTATGGGAAGCGACTACCATGAGCTACCTGATCAGTCAAAATATTTTAATCAAATTTAATTACGAGATCAAGACGTCGTTGAATGTGCTGATGAATTGTTTTTTGATCAGCAGCCAATTAAAAACTGCAAAGAACTTACAAATTTAAGTAAAAATAAAGCAACTTTCAGCTGAAAACATTAACGCGATAAATACGGAAAGAATACAAAAAGGTTTCTTCTTAGAACATTGTTTTAATTATTAGGAAACGGATTTTCATTTAATATTTTTGTGTATCTAAGAGAAACAATACAAATACAATAACAATTTTATCCTTATGCAAAGTATAAATAGTATAGCTGCTTGGAAGTCTAATGAGTAAGATTTGATTCGTGATCCGGATCCCTAGCAAAATGAAGGTATGAGTGCAGTTAGGATACATTTTATACCTTAATTAAATAAAAATATCTTACAATCATCTCCAAAAGTATTCTTAGAGTGTAGTCTTAAAGGGGCATACACCAAATCTGTCCAGACCAAATGACCTCATAGGCAGTTCAGTGACCTTCTAGCGCACCGTTTCCACACCAAACAAAATAATTTTGAGAATACCTATTTTTGTAATCGAGTATTTCCTGGTTAAGAGTGCAATTTTCGGAAAAACAATTTTTTGGTCGAGACGCTACAAGTTAATCATTTCTTGCGGTATCAGGTTGAAATTGTGCTCGCCGTTTATTCACATCTATTTCAAGGTGTGTGTAAAATCTTGATATCGTATCTAAAAAGCCTGGTGTGTTATAAATTTTTAAAGTCAAAAAGCTAAAATTGTCCTTTTCAGGCTTATTTTAACAAAAGGTCAGTCAGGGAAGATCGGATTGATTTGATGGTCGACATCAAATTGTTCTCTGAATTCTAGCGCAGTTTTTGATGCCCTCAAAAATTTTTTACTCATTTATCTTCAGATCTATTGGACCTCAAAGCCAAACAACAAATTTAGGCACATTTTTCGTTTTTAATATTTACGGATTTTTCTAAAATTTTGATAGGAATGTGCTAGTGACTTTTTGAAGGGCGCAAAATAACCACAACTAGCACATTTATACATGAGTTATGAACAGCAAAACACCCTAAAATGCTTTCCTTTGAAGTTATGGGAAAAAATGTGATTTTTTATCTGCAAAGCCAAAAAATCACATTGTTGAACAACACTGACATGAACAACACTGAGAGTGAAAAAGCAACTCATACTTGAGGAGGGGGGGGGTTCACCCTGATTTTTTTGTGAAACTTGATTTCGAGATAGCTGCTTACGGGGCAGCCACGTCCATATTTGGTCCAAATTAGGCCCAATTTAGCCAAATACCCTGAACATGCCCAAAAACCAGATTTTATGTGCTCTTCTTGTAGCTAGTGGTCCCCTAAACTCGTATATGAATTTTCATCAAGATTGGACAAAAATGACTAAGTTATGAGCCAAAAACCATATGACTATA